GTGGACACTTGGTGCTGGTGTAGGGTGGTGGACACTTGGTGCTGGTGTAGGGTGGTGGACACTTGGTGCTGGTGTAGGGTGGTGGACACTTGGTGCTGGTGTAGGGTGGTGGACACTTGGTGCTGGTGTAGGGTGGTGGACACTTGGTGCTGGTGTAGGGTGGTGGACACTTGGTGCTGTAGGGTGTAGGGTGGTGGACACTTGGTGCTGGTGTAGGGTGTAGGGTGGTGGACACTTGGTGCTGGTGTAGGGTGGTGGACACTTGGTGCTGGTGTAGGGTGTAGGGTGGTGGACACTTGGTGGGTGTAGGGTGGTGGACACTTGGTGCTGGTGTAGGGTGGTGGACACTTGGTGCTGGTGTAGGGTGTAGGGTGGTGGACACTTGGTGCTGGTGTAGGGTGGTGGACACTTGGTGCTGGTGTAGGGTGGTGGACACTTGGTTGGGTGCTGGTGTAGGGTGGTGGACACTTGGTGCTGGTGTAGGGTGGTGGACACTTGGTGCTGGTGTAGGGTGGTACTTGGTGCTGGTGTAGGGTGGTGGACACTTGGTGCTGGTGTAGGGTGGTGGACACTTGGTGCTGGTGTGGTGTAGTAGGGTGGTGGACACTTGGTGCTGGTGTAGGGTGGTGGACACTTGGTGCTGGTGTAGGGTGGTGGACACTTGGTGCTGGTGTAGGGTGGTGGACACTTGGTGCTGGTGTAGGGTGGTGGACACTTGGTGCTGGTGTAGGTGTAGGGTGGTGGACACTTGGTGCTGGTGTAGGGTGGTGGACACTTGGTGCTGGTGTAGGGTGTAGGGTGGTGGACACTTGGTGCTGGTGTAGGGTGGTGGACACTTGGTGCTGGTGTAGGGTGGTGGACACTTGGTGCTGGTGTAGGGTGGTGGACACTTGGTGCTGGTGTAGGGTGGTGGACACTTGGTGCTGGTGTAGGGTGGTGCAGGGTTGGTGCTTGGTGCTGGTGTAGGGTGGTGGACACTTGGTGCTGGTGTAGGGTGTAGGGTGGTGGACACTTGGTGCTGGTGTAGGGTGGTGGACACTTGGTGCTGGTGTAGGGTGTAGGGTGGTGGACACTTGGTGCTGGTGTAGGGTGGTGGACACTTGGTGCTGGTGTAGGGTGGTGGACACTTGGTGCTGGTGTAGGGTGGTGGACACTTGGTGCTGGTGTAGGGTGGTGGACACTTGGTGCTGGTGTAGGGTAGGGTGGACACTTGGTGCTGGTGTAGGGTGTAGGGTGGTGGACACTTGGTGCTGGTGTAGGGTGGTGGACACTTGGTGCTGGTGTAGGGTGGTGGACACTTGGTGCTGGTGTAGGGTGGTGGACACTTGGTGCTGGTGTAGGGTGGTGGACACTTGGTGCTGGTGTAGGGTGGTGGACACTTGGTGCTGGTGTAGGGTGGTGGACACTTGGTGCTGGTGTAGGGTGGTGGACACTTTGGTGCTGGTGTAGGGTGGTGGACACTTGGTGCTGGTGTAGGGTGGTGGACACTTGGTGCTGGTGTAGGGTGGTGGACACTTGGTGCTGGTGTAGGGTGGTGGACACTTGGTGCTGGTGTAGGGTGGTGGACACTTGGTGCTGGTGTAGGGTGGTGGACACTTGGTGCTGGTGTAGGGTGGTGGACACTTGGTGCTGGTGTAGGGTGGTGGACACTTGGTGCTGGTGTAGGGTGGTGGACACTTGGTGCTGGTGTAGGGTGGTGGACACTTGGTGCTGGTGTAGGGTGTAGGGTGGTGGACACTTGGTGCTGGTGTAGGGTTATCTTGAGGTTATCTTGAGATGATTTCGGGGCTTTTAGTGTCCCCGCGGCCCGGTCCTCGACCAGGCCTCCACCCCCAGGAAGCAGCCCGTGACAGCTGACTAACACCCAGGTTCCTATTTTACTGCTAGGTAACTGGGGCATAGGGTGAAAGAAACTCTGCCCATTGTTTCTCGCCGGCGCCTGGGATCGAACCCAGGACCACAGGATCACAAGTCCTGCGTGCTGTCCACTCGGCCGACCGGCTCCGGGTGGTGGACACTTGGTGCTGGTGTAGGCTGGTGGACACTTGGTGCTGGTGTAGGGTGGTGGACACTTGGTGTAGGGTGTAGGGTGGTGGACACTTGGTGCTGGTGTAGGGTGGTGGACACTTGGTGCTGGTGTAGGGTGGTGGACACTTGGTGCTGGTGTAGGGTGGTGGACACTTGGTGCTGGTGTAGGGTGGTGGACACTTGGTGCTGGTGTAGGGTGGTGGACACTTGGTGCTGGTGTAGGGTGGTGGACACTTGGTGCTGGTGTAGGGTGGTGGACACTTGGTGCTGGTGTAGGGTGGTGGACACTTGGTGCTGGTGTAGGGTGGTGGACACTTGGTGCTGGTGTAGGGTGGTGGACACTTGGTGCTGGTGTAGGGTGTAGGTGGTGGACACTTGGTGCTGGTGTAGGGTGGTGGACACTTGGTGCTGGTGTAGGGTGTAGGGTGGTGGACACTTGGTGCTGGTGTAGGGTGGTGGACACTTGGTGCTGGTGTAGGGTGTAGGGTGGTGGACACTTGGTGCTGGTGTAGGGTGGTGGACACTTGGTGCTGGTGTAGGGTGGTGGACACTTGGTGCTGGTGTAGGGTGGTGGACACTTGGTGCTGGTGTAGGGTGTTGGAAACTTGAAGCTGGTGTAGGGTGGTGGACACTTGGTGCTGGTGTAGGGTGGTGGACACTTGGTGCTGGTGTAGGGTGGTGGACACTTGGTGCTGGTGTAGGGTGTAGGGTGGTGGACACTTGGTGCTGGTGTAGGGTGGTGGACACTTGGTGCTGGTGTAGGGTGGTGGACACTTGGTGCTGGTGTAGGGTGTAGGGTGGTGGACACTTGGTGCTGGTGTAGGGTGGTGGACACTTGGTGCTGGTGTAGGGTGGTGGACACTTGGTGCTGGTGTAGGGTGGTGGACACTTGGTGCTGGTGTAGGGTGGTGGACACTTGGTGCTGGTGTAGGGTGTAGGGTGGTGGACACTTGGTGCTGGTGTAGGGTGGTGGACACTTGGTGCTGGTGTAGGGTGTAGGACACTTGGTGCTTGGTGCTGGGTGGTGGAACTTGGTTCAGACGTAGGGTGGTGGACACCAGCTGCTGGTGCCAGCTGGCAACACAGAGTGACAGGTGGCAACAGAGAGTGACAGGTGGCAACAGAGAGTGACAGGTGGCAACAGAGAGTGACAGGTGGCAACAGAGAGTGACAGGTGGCAACAGAGAGTGACAGGTGGCAACAGAGAGTGACAGGTGGCAACAGAGAGTGACAGGTGGCAACAGAGAGTGACAGGTGGCAACAGAGAGTGACAGGTGGCAACAGAGAGTGACAGGTGGCAACAGAGAGTGACAGGTGGCAACAGAGAGTGACAGGTGGCAACAGAGAGTGACAGGTGGCAACAGAGAGTGACAGGTGGCAACAGAGAGTGACAGGTGGCAACACAGAGTGACAGGTGGCACCAGAGAGTGACAGGTGGCAACAGAGAGTGACAGGTGGCAACAGAGAGTGACAGGTGGCAACAGAGAGTGACAGGTGGCAACAGAGAGTGACAGGTGGCAACAGAGAGTGACAGGTGGCAACAGAGAGTGACAGGTGGCAACAGAGAGTGACAGGTGGCAACAGAGAGTGACAGGTGGCAACAGAGAGTGACAGGTGGCAACACAGAGCAAGTTAGGCTCTTTGAGAAGAAAATATTCCCAGCGGAATTCTGTTTAAAAAAAATTGTTAATTGAGAATCTGGAAAATTCCAAAATTAAGTTGTCATAGACCTTGCTCAGTGTTCCTTGTCTCCTTATGAACCTCTCCACCTTGCCGAGCTTAAGGTCTCTACTGTTATTATTTGTAGTTATTAATATATTGAAATAATGCTAAATAAATAATAATATATATTATTTTCTTGTATATTTTATTTAATTACTATTATTTACTATTATTACGTCACTGTTTACGTAAACTCTGTAGTTAGTAAACTAGAACTACACTACATCTTCAGCGATGCGGGGTGTTGTATTGACAGAATATTCTGTAGTCTTAATTTTCTTATAAATGTTTGGTGTGTGGGAGTGAGAGAGAGGGTGGTGGTCCGCCTGCCGCTAATATAGCTTCCATATTTTTGCATATTTAGGGCGGTGAGAGAGTCGCGATTCCTGTGTGAGTGCTTAGGGAACACCTATGTGGTAGTCAGATGTTGTTGGGTAGTTGTTGGAGAGGTTACATGTACGGTGTTGGGTCAGGTGTTGTCTAACATCTGAAAGATTTCGCACAGGACCCAAATATTATTGTTGAATACGGGAGTCCTGTTCACGTCTATGGGTGGTATTAATATTATTAATCACGAGAAAATCCACAGGGGGCTGTTTTGAGGATTCGAAACTATGCGCTGGGTATGACCAGACACACGCTGTACACCACTAGGCCACGACATGGTCAAAAGAATTGCAACCCGAGTTGTGGATTTTCTCATTGATCACATTACTGTGATTTTTCTCTATTATTGATCATATTATTCTTATTCTTTTATTATTATTATTTATTATTATTCATGTTACATCATCTCTGTGACTTGTCCATGTTTCCAGCCTCCAGTTATGTCCGTGCGTGGCGTGTGCGTGTGTGTGTGCGTGTGTGTGCGTGCGTGTGTGTGTGTCCGTGCGTGGCGTGTGTGTGTGTGCGTGCGTGTGTGTGTGTCCGTGCGTGGCGTGTGTGTGTGTGCGTGCGTGTGTGTGCGTGCGTGTGTGTGTGTCCGTGCGTGGCGTGTGTGTGTGTGCGTGCGTGCGTGTGTGTGTGTCCGGGCGTGGCGTGTGTGTGTGTGCGTGCGTGTGTGTGTGTGTGTCCGTGCGTGGCGTGTGTGTGTGTGCGCGTGTGTGCGTGCGTGTGTGTGTGTGTATCTGTGTGCGCGTGTGTGTGTGCACTCACGTGCACCTGTTATTTACACGTGTGCGCGTTTCGTGTATGATGTACACCAGTGGACTGGGAGCGACAACTAACAGGTGGCTTGGTGTGCTCCACAGAGTGGGACATCCTGCAGCTGCTGAGCATCAACGGGTCGCAGACGGGGGTGTCGGCGGCCAGGGGCCCCATCCCGGACACCCCGGCCTGGAGGCTGCGGGCCCTCTACGACAACATCCAGCTCGACTCCTCCACCGTCCCCAAGGTAAACCTCTCTTACCTTTCTCCCCCAGGGTGGATGTTGGGGTAATCTGTCCGTAGCGCCCTCCAGGGTCGACGCTGGGTTAGTCTGAGTAGAAAGACTGAAGGCTTAGAGAGGAATTTTGGTTTTCAGCCAGTTCCTCGCTGCGCCGCACCCCGTGTTTGAGGAAAATCTGGCAGTCCACTTCCTCGATATGGTGTTAAGGAATTGTTATGGAGAAAATATCGTCGTTGCGGTCATATGGAGTTCTTATGGAGAAAATGTCACTTCGACCGTACCACCTGTTTTAGGGTAAATTACAGTCAGAGGTTTTCCATTTTCAGAGGATATGTTGTTTAATGTTATGTGAAGTAATTAATAATGTCAAATGTTAGTTCTTGAACCCGCCTCTTAATGTTTATAGATGTAGTTTTATTATTATCAACGCTAGTTTTTAAGATTTAAAAGGTAGTTATTTCGGAAGTATTAAACGAAGTTAAGTTAGTTAGTGAGCTCTAACTCTTGTCCTCCGCCTTAGTTCGCTACTATAAATTCAATTTTCCCGAGATTTAAAACAGAAATATTTCGAACGTATTAAACAGAAAAAGTTTGTTAGAGTTTCAGCTCATGTCCCCCGCCTCTGTTTCCTCTTGTAACTTTGTTACTAATAACCTAACTATCCTGAAAATTAAAACCACCGTATTTCAGATGTAGTAAATGATGAAAGGTAAGTTACCGATTTGCAGCTCTTGTCCTCCGCCTTAATTTCATCTTGTAAGTTCGTTATTATTAGGTCAATTTCTGTAAAATTTAAAACACATATTTCAGACGCATTGAGAAAAGAAAATAGTTACCAAGGTTAAGCTCCTGTCCTCCGCCTTAGTTCAACCTTATTTTGTTACAATCAATGTGATCTTCACTAAAATTAAAATCTAGTTATTTGTCACATAAAGTACAAATGAATTAGTTACCGAGATATAGCTCCTGTCCTCCGCCTTAGTTCGCTTCTATAGTTTCAGTATTATCAGCCCAGTTTTCACGAAAATTAAAATAGTTATTTCTGACGCATTAAGAACAAACAAGTTAGTTACCGAGCTCCAGATCCTGTCCTCCACTTTGGTTCACTCTTGTAACTTTATTATCATCAGTTCAATTTCCCGAGATTTAAATATGTAGTTATTTCAGACTTAATTAAATAGAACAATTGAGATACCGAGTTTAAGCTCCTATTATTACTTCACTGTTCACCAGACATAGTTATTTCAGAACAAGTGACTAAGTTTAGTGAACACTATTAACATTAATAGTGTTCACAATAATAATAGTGCGAACATTATTAACATATCCTCGGAAAATGGAAGTCTCGGACAGTAATTCATCTAGATCAAACAGGTGGTGCGGTAGACAGTATTTGCTCCATAAGAATTCCTTAAGACCGGAGTGAGGAATTTTTCTCCATACGAATACATAATGTGGGGCGGAGCGAGGACTGTCTGTGGTGAGAGGGGGGGGGGGGATAATGCAATCACGTTCAGGGAGAGTGAGTTGATGCCTGTGTTGGAGGGTGATGAGTGGGGGGGGGGGGGTCCATGGAGCAAGTACAGGTGTGGGAGGAGGGTTGGGCTGAGAAGTGAAAAGCCTCCAGTAATGGGAGAACAGTCACCACCAGTGAGAAGCCTCCAGTAATGGGAGAACAGTCACCACCAGTGAGAAGCCTCCAGTAATGGGAGAACAGTCACCATCAGAGAGAAGCCTCCAGTAATGGGACAACAGTCACCATCAGGGAGAAGCCTCCAGTAATGGGAGAACAGTCACCATCAGAGAGAAGCCTCCAGTAATGGAACAACAGTCACCATCAGAGAGAAGCCTCCAGTAATGGAACAACAGTCACCATCAGAGAGAAGCCTCCAGTAATGGGAGAACAGTCACCATCAGAGAGAAGCCTCCAGTAATGGGAGAACAGTCACCATCAGAGAGAAGCCTCCAGTAATGGGAGAACAGTCACCATCAGAGAGAAGCCTCCAGTAATGGGAGAACAGTCACCATCAGAGAGAAGCCTCCAGTAATGGGAGAACAGTCACCATCAGAGAGAAGCCTCCAGTAATGGGAGAACAGTCACCATCAGAGAGAAGCCTCCAGTAATGGAACAACAGTCACCATCAGAGAGAAGCCTCCAGTAATGGGAGAACAGTCACCATCAGAGAGAAGCCTCCAGTAATGGGAGAACAGTCACCATCAGAGAGAAGCCTCCAGTAATGGGACAACAGTCACCATCAGAGAGAAGCCTCCAGTAATGGGAGAACAGTCACCATCAGAGAGAAGCCTCCAGTAATGGAACAACAGTCACCATCAGAGAGAAGCCTCCAGTAATGGGAGAACAGTCACCATCAGAGAGAAGCCTCCAGTAATGGGAGAACAGTCACCATCAGAGAGAAGCCTCCAGTAATGGGACAACAGTCACCATCAGAGAGAAGCCTCCAGTAATGGGAGAACAGTCACCATCAGAGAGAAGCCTCCAGTAATGGAACAACAGTCACCATCAGAGAGAAGCCTCCAGTAATGGAACAACAGTCACCATCAGAGAGAAGCCTCCAGTAATGGGAGAACAGTCACCATCAGAGAGAAGCCTCCAGTAATGGAACAACACTCACCATCAGAGAGAAGCCTCCAGTAATGGAACAACAGTCACCATCAGAGAGAAGCCTCCAGTAATGGAACAACAGTCACCATCAGAGAGAAGCCTCCAGTAATGGGAGAACAGTCACCATCAGAGAGAAGCCTCCAGTAATGGGAGAACAGTCACCATCAGAGAGAAGCCTCCATTAATGGGAGAACAGTCACCATCAGAGAGAAGCCTCCAGTAATGGAACAACAGTCACCATCAGAGAGAAGCCTCCAGTAATGGGAGAACAGTCACCATCAGAGAGAAGCCTCCAGTAATGGGAGAACAGTCACCATCAGAGAGAAGCCTCCAGTAATGGGACAACAGTCACCATCAGAGAGAAGCCTCCAGTAATGGGAGAACAGTCACCATCAGAGAGAAGCCTCCAGTAATGGAACAACAGTCACCATCAGAGAGAAGCCTCCAGTAATGGGAGAACAGTCACCATCAGAGAGAAGCCTCCAGTAATGGGAGAACAGTCACCATCAGAGAGAAGCCTCCAGTAATGGGACAACAGTCACCATCAGAGAGAAGCCTCCAGTAATGGGAGAACAGTCACCATCAGAGAGAAGCCTCCAGTAATGGAACAACAGTCACCATCAGAGAGAAGCCTCCAGTAATGGAACAACAGTCACCATCAGAGAGAAGCCTCCAGTAATGGAACAACAGTCACCATCAGAGAGAAGCCTCCAGTAATGGAACAACAGTCACCATCAGAGAGAAGCCTCCAGTAATGGAACAACAGTCACCATCAGAGAGAAGCCTCCAGTAATGGAACAACAGTCACCATCAGAGAGAAGCCTCCAGTAATGGAACAACAGTCACCATCAGAGAGAAGCCTCCAGTAATGGAACAACAGTCACCATCAGAGAGAAGCCTCCAGTAATGGAACAACAGTCACCATCAGAGAGAAGCCTCCAGTAATGGAACAACAGTCACCATCAGAGAGAAGCCTCCAGTAATGGGAGAACAGTCACCATCAGAGAGAAGCCTCCAGTAATGGGAGAACAGTCACCATCAGAGAGAAGCCTCCAGTAATGGGAGAACAGTCACCATCAGAGAGAAGCCTCCAGTAATGGGAGAACAGTCACCATCAGAGAGAAGCCTCCAGTAATGGGAGAACAGTCACCATCAGAGAGAAGCCTCCAGTAATGGGAGAACAGTCACCATCAGAGAGAAGCCTCCAGTAATGGGAGAACAGTCATCAACTTTTTCTTAACACAGGGTAGTGAAATGTGGGTTAAAAGTACCCAAGAGTTTAGACTATGGAACCTTTTGGGCGAATTTTTTAGTAAAATCTTCACTGTATTTATTCACTCCGGTGACCTTTAGTGTAGTGCAACAGAAGTTTGTCAGTGTGGGGTACTACCCACAGGGTCATGTATGACTACCCACAGGGCCATGTATGACTACCCACAGGGCCATGTATGACTACCCACAGGGTCATGTATGACTACCCACAGGGCCATGTATGACTACCCACAGGGCCATGTATGACTACCCACAGGGTCATGTATGACTACCCACAGGGCCATGTATGACTACCCACAGGGCCATGTATGACTACCCACAGGGCCATGTATGACTACCCACAGGGCCATGTATGACTACCCACAGGACCATGTATGACTACCTACAGGACCATGTATGACTACCCACAGGGCCATGTATAACTACCTACAGGACCATGTATGACTACCTACATGGCCATGTATAACTACCCACAGGGCCATGTATAACTACCCACAGGACCATGTATGACTACCCACAGGACCATGTATGACTACCCACAGGGCCATGTATAACTACCTACAGGACCATGTATGACTACCTACATGGCCATGTATAACTACCCACAGGGCCATGTATAACTACCCACAGGACCATGTATGACTACCCACAGGACCATGTATGACTACCCACAGGACCATGTATGACTACCCACAGGGCCATGTATGACTACCCACAGGACCATGTATGACTACCCACAGGGCCATGTATGACTACCCACAGGGCCATGTATGACTACCCACAGGGCCATGTATGACTACCCACAGGGCCATGTATGACTACCCACAGGGCCATGTATGACTACCCACAGGGCCATGTATGACTACCCACAGGACCATGTATGACTACCTACAGGACCATGTATGACTACCCACAGGGCCATGTATGACTACCCACAGGGCCATGTATGACTACCCACAGGGCCATGTATGACTACCCACAGGACCATGTATGACTACCCACAGGGCCATGTATGACTACCCACAGGACCATGTATGACTACCCACAGGGTCATGTATGACTACCCACAGGGCCATGTATGACTACCCACAGGACCATGTATGACTACCTA